TTAATTAATTTTCTTGTCAGATATTCCTGCTCTTATTTATGAAGAAATTAAGATATGAAACAAAAAGATCAAAAGTTTCAAGAATAAAACTGGAAAAATTTCTGCTTAAAACAGGAAAGAGATATGTTAAAAAAATGGCAATCAAGAGATGGGTAAAGAGTTTTTTACAAAAAAAGTTTAAACAAGAGATATTTATATAATTATATATATTTACACACACACACACAGGTAGATATGATTATATAAAGATAAAAGGAAAACTTAGTTTGATGTATTTCATCCTCTGATGGACTTTATCAAAGTAAATTTAAGGATTTTATTTTGTAACAAGTATTTATATACAAGAGCAAATATTTTATATGGCCCAAAAAATTTTTACAAAATTTGAAAACCAAATATTCAGAAAGGTTAACTGAAAAGCTGAAATTTTGGCAAGCTATGAGGACACAAAATGATACTAAAATTTAATCATTTAATAAATGTAAAAAAGAATTTTAGAAAATTTTTTAATTTACCTTTTATTTTTATCTTATCAAAATATAAATCTGAGCCCCAGATTTTCCAAATATCTCCATTCCTGAAAAAATTACACTCTTCCCAAGACAACATACATGGCTAGAAAAAAGAAAAAAAAAAAAAAAAAAAAAAATTGAAAAGAAAATAGTTAAATTTATAACCTCATGTTACTTAAAATATATAAAAAATTAATCCTAAACTAAAATAATTTAAATACTAATTTGTGTATAAAAAAAAAAAAACAATTACCATAATTCCTGATGTATAATATGCCTTCATCCATAATACAAACACCCAGGGAAGAAAATTGTTGCAAGAATGAAAAGTGTGAGAAACTTCTAATTTGGACATATGAAAATACGCACCCCTATTGTTCAGTGATTAAACCCTTTAAATTTGAAATGATGGCTCCATTTTTCTTTACAGACAGCATTTCCTGCTCTTATTTAAGCTATAATTGAAGATATTTATCAAAATTTCAGATCATCATGGTTCTAAAAGAAAACGGAAATACATATATTGCGCCTACTGCACAGACTCATTAACCGGTTTTTGTTCGATAAAATCGGCAATCTACCAAATCTGTAACTAGTTTTTCACAAAAAACGGTTTCAAACATAGAATAATATTATTCTAATTTAGTTTCATGATAATTCTTATTTTATTTTACATTTGTAAGAATTGAAGAATGGTAAATATGATTATATTTGAGAACTGATTTTATGGGGTAGTCGAAATCACTGTAATGTTTGCAAGCTCATTTACTAAATATTGATTTACATGTATTTGTATTGTTTTTGGAGTTCTACATTGTTTTCTATCAATTTTGAATTTACTTTTTGGACATTCCAAATTTGAAAATAAATAAATAATTGTTATAATTTTTTTTCTATCCTTTGCAAATGATTCAAATTTTAGTATGTTATTATGGATGATAACGACTACCAGTTGTCAAAATTTCAGCTTTTTCACAGTTGTTATTTCTAACAAATATTAGGGTTTTAAAATTTTGTCCCTTAGTTTTGGACGCTACTATATATATATATATATATATATATATATATATATATATAGAGATAATATTAGTGGTAAATATACATACATATGCAAAAATATATAAATACCCATACATGTATATTTTTTGAATAAAATTCAAGAGGATAGAATCCAGGTAGAACTCAATGTCCAGGACAGAGTAAGGATATAATAAAAAGGCTTAAAACACTAATATTAGTGACCATGGAATATTAGTGTTTAAGCTTTTTTTTATATATATATATATATATATATATATATATATATATATATATATATATGTATGTATATATTATTAGTAATTATACATGTAAAATTTATTTTAGGATATTAAAGCAAAAACATGTTAAAAATCTCTACTCAATTACAGTTATGTTTCATTGCTACAAATAGGTCTCCTGGGGTGATGTTATTAAGGAGGGAATGATTATTTTTATTTCACAATACAGAAAACTTCCTCTTTTTCTTCGAGAAAAAAAGCACAATTAAAAAAATCATCTTGTGAGAATTGCCATGATTAACCAACTGAATGTGACCTATGCTACCTCAGTGAAATTATGCTACCTCAGTGAAATTTGTTCTCATTTTACCTGGACACACATATATATATATATATATATATATATATATATATATATATGTATATGTAAAAATATATAGAAAATAGGAAAGAACTCGTTAGGTAAATAATCCAAAGTTCTTGAGTATTTTTGTTATTATTTTTAAAAAATAGTGTTCGATACAGAAGTAGAGCATAAATATAATTATTTATTTAAAAATATGATTCCAGTGCTACATAAGAGTTCTCATGTTTCAAAACAAGAGCCGAAAACTTCAATATAATTATTTGAATTAAATTGAATTACAGTACTAAGTTCTGTTCCATCTTCAAGCAAAATTTTTTTTTTTTTTTAATTACAGTGTAACCTGGATATAAGAGAGTTGTCGGGACCGGAGAAAAAGTCTCTTATATCCGGGTTTGGTCTATTTTGTTTACATTAACACAGGCTCTAATTTGGGAGCAGAGAAAATCTCTCTTATATCCGGGTTTCTCTTATATCGGGTTTGGTTTATATACACATTAACATTAACACAGGCTCTAATTTGGGACCAGAGAAAATCTCATATCCGGGTTTCTTATATCCGGGTTTGGTCTATTTTATATACATTAACACAGGCTCTAATTTGGGAACAGAGAAAAATCTCTCTTATATCCGGGTTTCTCTTATATCCGGGTTACACTGTATTTCTAATTATTCCAAAATAAATTGTGCTTGAAGATGGAACAGAGCTTAGTACTTTAATTCAAATAATTATATTGAAGTTTTCAGCTCTTGTTTTGAAACATGAGAACTCTTATGTAGCATTGGAATCATATTTTTAAATAAATAATTATATATATATATATATATATATAAAAATAATGTAAGAAAGTTCTCTTGTATCAGATTCTTTTGCACATTTATTGCAGACAACAAGGGTAGGGAGATTCTTAAACTAATATGGAATTCCATAATACTAAAACTCTAATCTTGTATGTATGCATATATAATCATGAGATTATGATTTATGGGCACAGAAATAATCTGTAAAAAATGTTATAAAGTTTAATGTACCTAGTTTTAAGTATAGCTAAAGTACCTAATGTGATTTCAAGCATTACTGTAAATCAGTTGGCAAATGTTTTCCATGAACTGCAAAATCATTACCATTTGTATTGCTAATGTGGAAACTTAAATAACATTCCCATAAAACCTTTAAAAAAATATAGATTTACTTCTTTCTAATCCTTTTTAAAAATTATTTCTATCGCAAATACAAATAAAGTTATAAATTTTTTAAAGTGCTCATGAACTTTATGGACAGCCTGTATATGATACTTGCATATGATATTCCAACTATTGTGTGTGAAAAATAAACATTCATAATACATTATAACAACAATATAAAATAAATTTAAATATGCATAACACATTTATACAATTCACTACATTAGAACTTTTTTTACTTGAAAGGTGAAGAGGCTATATATGTGTGACATGACTAGATGGTAAATAAATAGATGCACAATGGTTTGCTGCCAGAAAATATTTTAAAATAAATGCTAGGAAGAAATAAGCACATACAATAAGAAAAAAGAAAGATTATTTTGAAAAAGACTACACAATTTTCACACAATGAAACCCAGTGGAACAATAAACCTTCTTTTACTGTCTTTAGGATTAATTATTAATTTTGTATTCAAATTACATTTCATGGAAGAAATTTCTCTAAATCTAGTAGTAGATATATCTGTTGATATTATAAAATAATTTATTTTTTATACATTGAATCAGGATAGATGTGCATTAAAGTATTTTTGGTACATTATATTTATCTTTCGGCTGGAAAAAACTTACTTATTTACTAATAATTGGTAAAAAATATACTTATGATTTTGAAAAAGACGACACCTGGTTTAAACTATCACTCCAAATTGTCATGCAATGTGTTAACAATGAAGCCCTTTTGAACAATGAACTTTTTACTCTAAATACAAATTAAAATGTGTAATCTATATGAATAAATGTAAAATCTAAGCTCAATTCTCCCATGATTTCTGAGGTTAAAAAGGTCCCCAACTCAATTTACTTGATCCGTATTAGGCCATGCTATGAAACAAGATCAGTTTAATGTGAGGAGCCCAAGCACATACATCTGGGCTAGGAACAAAAATTCCCCGATTCCCCACAACCATCAGTTGTGCTGGCCTCAGCGCAGGCACCGATCACTCTCTCTAATGCAATGAGAGGGTGTGGCCTCAGGCAGCTGTTCCCCAAGACTGTGCACCTCTCAGTATAATTTTCCTCAGTTGCGATTCTGTCCTTCGACAGCTGCCCATGAGCGCACTCTGCCCAAAGACAAAGACACAACAGAGATAATAAATGTGTTACAAACTACTTTATAGTACTTTGGTACTCGAGCAGCACATGGCCAAAAGGGTAGGGCACCCTGTGAGGATTGAACTCACTACTCAGTTGTAATTGATCTAGAGGGACAAGCTTGTTAACACATTACACCATGTTGAAATGCCGAAACTTTTAAAATGTTGTGAGAAAGAAAAATAAATGAAATTGGAATAAATGTTTGTCACGAGATATTTCCAAACTATTCTCCCGATTCGAATTGATTTAATCCAAATCCCTTCTGCTGACTCAGGACACGTTAATTTTAATCCAAGCTACAAGCCGACAGAGGACTTCCACAATTTTTAAAGTGGTGAGGGTGGGGTGGAGAGAAAGAAAAGCACACAGATGCATACTTTTCTATTTAAACGTTTATGTGAATAATTCTGCAACAATTCAGTTTTTGCTTCAAATGCAGAGTTTATTTCCATTTTGATGATAAAAAAAAATAAAATAAAATAATAATCGCAGTCACCACAAGGCAACATTCTCACAACATTCTTTTTAATATAATTGAGAGTGAAAGAGAGAGTGAGAGAGAGTGAAAGAGAGAGAGAGAGAGAGAGAGAGAGAGAGAGAGAGAGAGAGAGAGAGAGAGAGTGAAAGAGAGAGAGAGAGAGAGAGAGTGAGAAGAGAGAGAGAGAGAGAGAGAGAGAGAGAGAGAGAGAGAGAGAGAGAGAGAGAGAGAGAGAGAGAGAGAGAGAGAGAGAGAGAGAGAGAGAGAGAGAGAGAGAGAGAGAGAGAGGAAGAGAGAGGAGGAGAGAGAGAGAGGAGAGGAGAGAGAGAGGAGGAAAGAGAGAGAGAGAGAGAGAGTGAGAGAGAGAGAGAGGAGAGAGAGAGAGAGGAGGAAAAGAGAGAGAGGAAAGAGAGAGGAGGGAAAGAGAGAGAGAGAGAGAGAGAAAGAGAGAGGAGAGAGAGAGGAAAGAGAGAGGAAGAGAGAGAGAGAGAGAGAGGAGAGAGAGAGAGAGAGAGAGAGAGAGAGAGTGAGAGAGAGAGTGAGAGAGTGAGAGAGAGAGTGAGAGAGAGAGAGTGAAAGAGAGAGTGAAAGAGAGAGAAGAAAAAACTTCTATAAAAATAAAAATGGTAACAGCTGTTTGATATCTTAGTTCTTTCTTTGAAGATATTCTTTGAGTTCTTCACCAATTCCTTGATTGTAGCAGTTATCATAATACTTGAAATTAAAGGTAACTCTTCCTCACCCCACATCTCTCTGTTAAACATTTAAGTGTATAATAAAATAAAAACCTGAAAAATGAAAGTTCGAAATAAGAAAAATTGCAAACATCCAATGATTAGCAATCACATTGTAGAGTTTCCCGAAAAAGATCAGAAGAAAGAAAGATCAATACTTGAAAGAAAAAAAAAAGAAAAAAGGAAAATAAAATAACTGAAATCAATCAATACGTAATTACAAGCGTTAACCTTAGAAATTCTCGTGCAGCATTCTCAGAGTAAACGAGAAAGACACAAATTTTTGAAACTTAAGTGTATCTCTGCCAAAATACTCAAACAATTACTAACAAAACCGATGAAGACGTGTCAGATCAATAATTTTGCGTTACAAATTGACTAATTCCAGCTTATGGAGATACCCTTCCCACCTAAAAAAAAAAAAAAAAAAAAAAAAAAAAAAAAAAAAAAAAAAAAAAAAAAAAAAAAAAAAAAAAAAAAAAAAAAAAAAAAAAAAAAAAAAAAAAAAAAAAAAAAAAAAAAAAAAAAAAAAAAAAAAAAAAAAAAAAAAAAAAAAAAAAAAAAAAAAAAAAAAAAAAAAAAAGAAAAAAAAAAAAAAAAAAAAAAAAAAAAAAAAAAAAAAAAAAAAAAAAAAAAAAAAAAGAAAGAAAAAAAAAAAAAGAAAAAAAAAAAGAAAAAAAAAAGAAAAAAGTCGAAGACTTTCAAATCATAAGTTCCAGGATTTATTCCAAAATTTAAATATGTGGGTGTATCAATCAGCCCATAGCCTGGTAAGTGATTGATTTTTTTATGACTTATCAACCCTTTATGTATTATTTAAAACCAAAACATTTTAGATTGTATGAATTCTTTTTCGGTAGTGAATAATGCATCTACAGTAGTTTTTTTTTTTTTTTTTGTGAATAATGATCTTTCCAATTACAAGCCCTACTATTTAACCCATATCTGGGGGAGAGTAGATGGATTCATACCATTTCCAAGAATATATGCATTTAAGTGAATATAACAAACCCAACTGGAATTCAAACTCAGCTATTCAAATTTTTTTGAGGTGGGGAGGGGATTAATTTTTATAAATCAGCATTCATTTGACGTTCCTCTACCTACAACTTGTCAGAATCTAAAGATATTTATTTTTTAATCATTTCACCCCAAACAAGGTGATAATGTCACCGAGATGCAATATTACTAAGAGTGAAAGAGAATGAAATGACTTTAGAAGGAACTGGAAAACCCAATCCTAAACAGGAAACAAGGGATGACATATTTCACAGCCTACCACCTCTTTCCTCGCCACTTCCAGGGAAAATGTTGTAACAAGCTCCATTTGTTAGTTACACCAGTTCAGACCTTTACAGTTAAAACCTGCCGTCAACGTACACAGAGCTTAATTATCCTCTTTCATTCCACATTCTCTTATGTCAACTCTTATCCATTTTCAACCCTAAGTAACACTACCTTGAGTGACTCTTGGGTTTAAAAACAGTGAGATACTATAGCAATAGTATTGTGGTCACATTGGTGGTAGGGATGAAATTACATTTTCTTTTTTTTAAACATCTAACACACTTTATCGTTAGTTACACCAGTTCAGAACTTTACAGCTAAAACCTGCCCTGCCACAGAGTTGAATCATCCTCATTCCCTCCATATTCCATTGGAAGTTGCACTTAGCATCTTTCTGAGAAATGTCAATTTGTAGAACAGACTCCCAAGGAGATGCTTCCCCAATCACTACAATCCTAACCGCTTAGGTCAACTGTTATCTGTTTTCCACCCTCAGTAATCCTCTACCTTGGGTGGCTCTTGGGCTTTGCATTGAGTGAACAACAGTAGAAAAAAAAAATAAATAAAAAAAATTTAAAAAAATAAATGAATAGGTTCTCATTCCAGAAAAAGTCTGTCTCCAGATATCATCTATATCAGCTTAGAGATGGGTTTTCTCATTTGAAAATAAAAACAAAAAAACAAGCAACAAGGACAGCATATAACAAACTCATAATTGTATAAAAATTAAGATATTTAGGAAACTGGGCAACACCGGGTACACTTGCAGTTGTTTATGTCCCATTACAATAGTGACTTGTTCAATACGGGACTTTAAGCTCTTCTTTCCAAGACGAATAATACAAACAATTCTGTTGCACTTGCCATATATTGTAATCAATCCACTTGGTTTTTATTTACTTTTCTAATTAGACATCTTGTTTTCTGAGGGGATTATCTCCTGTTAGAGATCAACTTATTTCTTGTTCAGCTGATCAATCTTTATTCTGAAAGAAGAAAAATCACTAGCAGATCTCATTACAGACTAAATGCTCCTCAGCCAATAGACGAGCATTTTACTAGAGCTTTCAACTACTTCACGTTTACACATATTGATTAACTATAAGTGTCTAATTCAGAACCAATTATACAAAAAGTATCATATACAGTAAAATGCTTATATATATATATATATATATATATATATATATATATATATATATATATATATACACACACACACACACACACAAGTACTTAAGCATTTAATAGCATGTTTATGCAATGTGATATTATAGGGAGGATCTAACAAATAGATCAAAATTTTATTCAGAAGAAAGAGGGGTAGAGAGAAAGAGAGTCTTGCTAGAGAGAAAGAGAGAGTCCGGGGGGAAAATGTGGGGGGGACTGGGGGAGAGTCGGGAGGAGAGGGGGGAAAATGTGGTCGGGAGGAGAGTCCGGGGGAAATGTGGTCGGGGAGGAGAGTCGGGGGGGAATGTGGTCGGGGGAGGAGAGTCCGGGGGGGAAATGTGGTCGGGGGAGGAGAGTCCGGGGGAAAAATGTGGTCGGGGAGGAGAGTCCGGGGGAAAATGTGGTCGGGGAGGAGAGTCCAGGGGAAAATGTGGGGGGGGAGAGTCAGGGGGAAAATGGGGAGGGAGTCCTGGAGAGAGAGAGAGAGAGAGAGTCCGGGAAAATGTGGGTGGGGGGAGAGTCTGGGAGAGAGTCCGGGAAAGAGGGATAGGGGAGAGTTGAGAAAGAAACGGTGGGTGGGGAACAGATTTCGAGAAAGGGACCCAGTGCCCAATGTTTGTAAGCTAGCACCTGTTACACTTTAACAAATTAAATACACTCCCTTATAGTCTTCTGATCAGCCCCAAAATAAGAGTAATTAACAAGACTTTATTTAAAAACAATTCCTCCTACCAAGTGTAAAAGCAAGAGAAATGAGACGAAAGGAATACTGGTCAAAAATTGACAATATTTCATCACAGATATTCAGACAATTCATCATTACGATGAGGTGTAAAATCAAGATGAAAAAATACAAAATGTATTGACAACATCAAGACGATTACAGCAAAAGCAAGATTAAATAAGAGGAAAGAAATACTTGTCAACAACTGACAATTTCAAGTCAGGTCTGCTTAGGCCAGCTACTGGTAACATGTAACCCACTGTAACATGCCACATGGACAGGTAGTTGACATCTAGACCAGCTCCCTGACTGTTTTCTACTGGTGAGAGCAAAAAAAAAAAAAAAAACAACACTGTATTGGACTACCATGAGTGTTTTTGGTTGGGTGTTAGGAAGAACATCTGGTTTTGTGAAAGCTTGCTTCAAATCACTGCCCGATATAAAATCCTGTCAGGTAGGACCCACCTTGCTTTGGGTAAGATTAATCCAGACTTGGAGACAAGAGGGAAGAAAACAAATAACCCACTTTGCAAGCTTGTTTAAATGAATGGTAGAACAGGGTTGAGGAGATGTAGCGAAAAAGACGAAATTTATTAAGAAATACAAAGGACAAGAAATTGTGGAGAGCCATGATCACCCACAACCTGAAGAAACATGGTACATAAAAGATCTGTTCAAAGTAATGTCCTATCATGTGTAAATGGATGACAGAACTAAGCTTAGGAGAGATAAAATAAAAATTTATTACAAAGGAGAGGAAATAGTGGAGAGCCATAATTGCCTATGTCATGAAGGGACACAGCACATAGAAGTGGTTGGTGTAAATTTTTTAAGTTGGAAAATGAAGAAATTTACTTTTAAGTTAAAAATTTCTCGTTGAAATACAAGAATATTTGCAGAGATTTATAAACACTGTCACCATTGTAGGAAATTGCAAATCAATAATGACGTAGAATAACTTCTTTCAAACTGTGTCAAGAGAAATTACCTGAAGCTGAAAATACTTGAGAGAGAGAAAATTGAAATGCCATTGGAAGAAGTTGTTAAATGAATGTAGCAGGATTTGCCACTTTTACAACCGTGATAGATATTTATTAAGAAAGTGACGAACAAGGAAAAAAGCAAACATATT